CAGGAATCCTCACCTTCCAAAAAACAGAAGGTGCTAACAATAAAAAAAGTACCACAAAGTACCATAGTATTACCACGTTGTTTCAACATGTACTACAGGAGCTTTACCCAGCCAAAACGTTGTAAACAAAGATGGTAGATTCAGAACTATAAAACTGTATTTTAGTAATACATTTACCATTTTTTTTTACCATTTTTCAGTAACTAGGCTAAGAATGCAAATAAATCCAACTCAGATTGTAGATGTTATCTTAACTGTTATTTCCCAGCAATCCCCAAAGTAAGTAATGCTGATTCTCTCTTTCTATTCCACACAAATCTGTCTTTCCTAGACAGTTCACGCATGCTCTTACAGATAGCCTAAATAATAACATTGAAACTCATTAGCAGATTAACTCTAAATAAATGCCTCGATAAGTACACCCGAATCAACACTAATGACTCTGTCTAAATAGAAGATAAAGGCTTATGGATAATTACTCGGCATTGGAAAAGTCTTTAAACGGGCTGTGTAGTAGAGGGAACCGTCATGTCTTAATGAACTGTACATTCAATAATGTAGTGTAGAATGGATTTGAGTAACATTCAGCATGTATAGGGAAGTGCTTTGAGTACTAAGCACTACAATATTACCTCAAGACAGTTATTGGAACGTATTATGATGTTATGATGGCATGACAAGCAGTACACCTTTGAAAGTATGCAGTCTTTGTGACAATTTATTAGTAACATACAGCATACAAATACCAATAGCCACTTTCACAGACAAAACTCTTGTAATTCTCAAGAATTTTTCAAAGAAAATGGCAGATGCCAGTAGTTGCCAGCTTTCTAAAACCATGTCCTATAAACTAAGGACATGAGGTTGACGTTAAATGAACAAATGAATATAAAATTAATTCTAAAATTGAATTACACCTAAAATTGAATATTTGCTGTTAATTTGACTATGAGACTATGGATTACAGGTAACAATGTTGTAAATAATGTTCAGTTTCTTGCACAGACCAGTCATTTTGCTTAATAAGACCTAAATCGTCGGGAGCTATAAGTATTAATTTCATCTTGCCTGTACAGGTATATGCTTTTTTGACTCTCAAAGTGACGATAGCCATAGACTTGCATTTTATAAATCACCAAGAACCACAGTTTCAGCTAAAAATCATCTTTACTGTTCTACTGCAGAAAAAAGGTATCTACAATTTGGATGGCCTGAAGGTGGGTAAAAAATAAGGACATTTTCATTTTTGGGTGAACTATCCCTTTAAATTCAAACAAATTAAGCAAACTTTCTTTCTTTGAGGTGGAAAACAGTGGCTGAGTGGATATACTGTAATAAGTATATTAATTATTTATAAAATAACTTAAAGGAGACATATTATGCCCCTTTTTTCAATATGGGATATAAGTCTCTCACTGTAAAAAATTTTCTCCCCTTTCAACTTAAAAAACGTAAGTTTTGTGGCTGCCTTAAAATTTTAAGTTAAAGTTAAAAAGTCGTTTCAACTCACTAATTTAAATCTTGCCTAGTGCTGAATTGTTTTAAGTTCATTTGACTTTACAACATTTGCTGTTTCAACTTAAGTTCAAAATTTTTAACATGAATTTTCTAGTTATGATAATGTAAACTTTATTTTAGATCCAGATAAAAAAAATATACTACAACATTTGTTTGAAACATTTCAATTTTATTTTTTTCTTGCAGTGCTTATAAACAGGGTTTTAATATTAAGAACAGTACACAACCTGCCTGTCCATTCTAATGTGTGAATGCCAGTATATGTATACAACAAGGGCACAAAAGTAGAAAAAAACTGCCAAAAAACTGTCATACAAAGCTGAAAATACACTCATACCTCATGGGAAACAACCACTGAGAAAAGCTTGAAAAAAAAACACATACATGTCCATTACAGTCCTTTTTTTTCTTGAACATTTAAAAGGAGAAAGGT